GAGGGGCCATCTGACTCAGTCAGATGTCGGATGACTCATTTGCGCCGAACTGGTGCCCCGGGACAATGAAGACCTCCGAGTCGGCCAGACACAACCGATACCGAGCAGTCGGCTCTGTATTGGTTTGGGCTCTGGGGTCCCATTTCCCAAGCAGGGACAACGCCAGATCGCGTATTTGTTACTGGAAGCCTCCTACATTGATCGGGGTACCTGAAATAACTGGAACTCCTGTGTCGGTCAGGGCCCACATTGTCCAACAGGGGGTTCTATGTGAGAAGAGAGCCCCATGTCGGCCAGGAGCACCTTTGCAGGGAATGGGACAGGGACAGGGACTGGACCCTGAATGTAAAGCATCTCTTATGTTGACTGGGGCCATCTGACATCGAATGACGATATGAGCAATGCCAACAAAAGGGCCTGCAATGAGACAATAGAAGGGCCCAGTGTCAGTCAGTCAGTCATTCTAGCAGACGAATAAACTGACATGTACCTGAAGTGACTGCCGTGCAGTTCACAGACAGGACGCAGCTACTCGTGAGCGGAAAAATGAAAATTTGACCCACATGATATCTCGACTGGAGACGACGCTCTCAACCTCGTACACATAGTTTTTACTAGCGATATGAAAGCCAATGCGTACAAGAGTCAGCGAATTTTTAGGCGTACGTCCTATGTTGATAGGCATGTCTTCGGTTAACGTATGGTCCGATGACGTCAGCACCAATTAATCAAGATTCTTGAAAATCTGGCTAACGGTATGGATAAGTAACTGACGTCCATATCCATGCCAACCACAATGTGTTGAAAAGGAAGATAGCGCTTCTGGCGCTCAATCCCACGAGTTATGCTCTACCACCAATCCCACGAGTTATGCTCTGCCACCAATCCCACGAGTTATGCTCTACCACCAATCTCTACCAACCCGATCGTTCACATCTCTTATCCTGTCTGCTCTGAGGTACTGCACAGCTATCATGCTGCTGCGGCAGCGGCCAAGACTGAGATTTCCGGAACTGTTTTCCTGATTGTTTGTCTGGCCTTTGCTCGCTTTTCCCGTGCGAGCTTGTTGCGATTCTCGACGTTTTGAGTTTGCTGCTTCCTTAATGTGGGGAAGCGTAAAACACGCCAGAATGAGCCTTCGAACCCTGACACGGACTCGATCGTGGTCTCAGAGCCCCCCCCCCCCCCCCCCTCCCTCTCCCCTTCTCCAATGAGGGCCGATCAAGCCAGTACTGACCCTGCATAACCGCCTTTCATCAAGCCGCCGACCCTGACATGAGCCGGAAGCCATGTGGAACTCCCGCCGCCAATTCTGCTCCTGCCCATGAACGTAACCACCTCTGAAATAGCACCGGAGTTCATTCCTGTTTCGACTTCATGTTGCATGGTCAGAAGACAAGGTTAGCTGAGTCCGCCCAAACATGACTGGGGCACGGTCTCATTGGTGGTCAGGTCCATGATCCTGCACCGCTAACCCCCTCTCGCCTGTGACCCATGGCGCTGTCTCTGCTCGACGCTCGTCCAGCACTGGCTCCCTCTCGCCTGTGGCACATGGCGCTGCCTCCGCCCGACGCTCGTCCAGCTCTGACTCCCTCTCGCCTATGGTAGATGACGCTGCCTCCGCTCGACGCTCGTCCAGCTCTGACTCCCTCTCGCCTGTGGTAAATGACGCTGCCTCCGCTCGACACTCGTCCAGCTCCGACCCTTGCACGTTTTCTGACCTCACCTCTGTATTCGCTATTGATCTCCTTATCTCGCACTTGGAAGTGTTGCTGCGAGGCGAAGGCGGGCTATTCAGAAACGCTGACGCTTTTGGTCTTCCAGGCAATTTCAGGTCACTCGGGACCCATGTGAATACGAGATCCAAGCCCCTCTCCCCCCCCCCCCCCCCGGCAACTGGTTTCCTTGCCGTCACAACTCAGAACCGTGTCCAGATAAAAACACCTCAGGACCACAGAATTATGAAGAAATGCCGTAACTACGGTACTTTTCAATGATTGCAACACGACTCAACGTAAAATGTTTGCACCAGAAACCAAATTAAAACAAAATGAGGGGATACTCTCGTTAGCTTGAAACATAAAGAAACGTGTTCATCGGCTCAACAGCCTTCAAGGACGGGCGTCGGCGAAACTTCAGTTTGCTTGTCATTGCCCTTGACGCAACCAAGCTACCAAGACATTTGATTGTCGGCCGTCTTCGCTGTCCGGTCGGTGTCTTCACCCCAAACCCTCCACGCTGTTCCAATTGTCAGGAATTTGGACTCGGCAGCAAGAACCGTCACCAAAGCGCACCATAGTGTGCAGCCGTACCACACTTCAGATGTGCAGGTCTGAAGTGTGGTACGGCTCCGCACGAGTGGTTTGCCTGCGCGCCCCCCGCGAGCTGCCTCAGCTTCAACAACCCACGTCATGCGACGAGCCCACGCAGTGTCCTGTGAAGAGGAAATAAAAATGTGTGCGCCGTAAAAAAAATTGGCGCATCGATTATTAACAAACACGTCGCACTGCCCAGGCCGCAGTGGCTCCCAGTCCAAACAGAACGTGCACTCAGGCGCCCCAGGCGCATGCGACGGCCTGGCGAACTCAGGGGAGACCAAGACTGTACGGGCAATGATGAACAGCCCGAGTCACTTTCAGGGCTTCTGACGGTCCGGTCCGGTCCGAGGTCAGGAGTGCACTGTAAACCGCAGCGCACCGGTCCGAAGTCACGAATGTACTGTCGGTCCGGAGTCACGAGTGCACTGTGGACCGTAGCGCACCGGTCAAAAGACCGCAGGCTGTTGGATGCACGCGCCCTCGTGAGCCCATCCGCAGCCCCATCCCAAGGCAGCCCGGCGCTAATCGTCCAGGAACGGCGCGAGGACCCCGTCCGGCCCCGCCCAGCCGTGCAGGCGGCCTTGGCCAGGTCACAATCACTATCTCGTCGCCGACGTGGGTGCAGCCAGATCTCTGAGACTAGTGTGGGGGAGGGGGGGGGGGGCAGGGGAATAGAGGCCGGGAGTGAAATCGCAATATGGGCAGGTAGCCTGACCTGGAAATAATATTTGGAATAGAGAAGCGCAGATAATATATAGTTACACACAAAGTTATGGACAACGTTCAAATGGACAATAAAAAAAAAATTAATTCAAAATCAAATAAAAAAAAACAATCAAATCACCGACTGAGGTATCCATGTGTGTTGGTTTCGGCCTTTAAATTCAACTCCCAATGTCAATTGTGATCGAATGGTCTGGCATGGACATTTCATAATTAATACGTGAGTAAAAGCAAATCAGTATATTTCGAGCTCCAATCATCATGGCAGATCAAAAAATTTTCAACAGTGCCCTACATTTCCCGATTTCCAATTGCTTACTAAATCGCTGTATAAGGCAAGAACAGACTGCTGTCATGACAGGACAGTGTGTGTGTGCGATTAGGGCTTTACGACGCACCAAGCTGCTGAGGCTATATAGTATCGCCTGTCTCCGGCCCTGACAGGAAGGACGGACGCCGCAGGAAAGAAGTTGGCAGGGTAGCTTTGTCTACTGATGGGTTCATCCACACCCACCCACGCTGTGTGATCTTCTTCATGTCCATTGGTGACCTCGCACGCACAAAGCTGGCATGTGCATGCGCAGTGCAGCTCGCGCACTGACGGCCTCATGTGGGATGATCCAAAACAACTCGCTCAAATGTGCTCGCACAATCTGCATATCTTTGCGGGCATGCAACATAGAAACACAAGGGGCTTAGGTCTTAAAAGAACAGAGCTGGGAACTGCGCTGAATAATCTTCAGGACGGCTATTTCAATTCAAAACCCCATACAAATGTGAAACACTTCCGTTAATACGCGCCCGGGTGGACGATTAAATACGATGCACTTAGTTCGATTTAACTCCCCAAGACATTCAGAAATGGGCAGACTAAAGACTCGCCAAATTCAGAGGGCACGCAACAATCTGTGTCAACTTTTTGCGCATAGTTCAGCTTTTTTAGACGTGGCCTTTGGGTAAAATAAGGCGAAATAACGTCAAGACCAAAATCATGGCCGGAATTGCCCGCAGACTTTTTCAGCAGCCAGCTTTCAATTTCAAACCTTTTCTAAGTACAGGAGCGGTAAAGGCCACTTTAGAGCAGCAAACATATGTGACATTTAAAATGTCAGTGAAGATGACAAGGAATCCTTCGAAATTCTTTTGGTGTTTAAACTTAAAACCAGTGTCAAGAATTACCTTAGACAGGATAGTCATCAAAGCAACAAGTTGGTCATGGCTATTTTAGGTCAATGCCCTCATCTGATGGTTATACAGCCAACAGAATAAACATATTTACTTCTGTGATCCAAGAATTAGAAATGGGCTAAAAACCAGCCAATCAAACAAATTTCTCAGTAACAAATCTGTCTCGTTGTGATTGCCTGAGCTTCGTGACTGACCAAGGTTAATGAAATTGGCTGTAAACCATCTCAAAGCTGTATGACCCAGTCTACAATTCCGCCGTCACACTAACAAGTACGATTCCTAAGAATCGTCTTTGTCAACAACCATGACCTGGCTTCCATCCGTTACAAGTCAGCGACCTTGAAAAATGCATTTTATTTTGGGCACTAAAAGATCGGCTATTCAGTTCACAAAATACAAATGGATGATGTACAGCTATGTCAAGTTTGGCGTCTCTTCGCCGTACCGTTAGAACACTATTTCGGGAAAACAGCACTGCGGAAGACCACCCCTAGCGACTCACCGACTAACCCACTTGGTGGGAATACGGAAGGTCACCCCTAGCGACTCGCCGAATAAGCCGCTTGGTGGGAGTAGGGAAGGTCACCCCTAGTGACACGCCGAATAAGCCGCTTGGTGGGAGTAGGGAAGGTCACCCCTAGTGACTCGCCGAATAAGCCGCTTGGTGGGAGTAGGGAAGCCCGACTCGCCGCTTAAGCCGCTCATTCACAGCTTGAAGGCCGCCGCGAGCCACTGTGTCTATCCGTGATCCAACCATTGCGGGGTACTCACAGTCAAAATTGGTGGCCTTGCTGGAGCTGCTGAATGGCATCGTGGAGACCGAGTTGCCACTGTCGCTGACCGAGTCTGACTTGTCTTTTTTGGGCGGTTCCTCCCTCTTCGGCGCCTCCGGCTTCGCTGCCTTGGCGTCCACTCGCTGGGGGCTGGGCGGCGGGTTGGGCTCACCATTCACATCGCCGTTGATCGGTTTATACACGCCAGGCGTGTGTTTGCCTGGAACAGAGAGACAGCGAGCGTCAGCGACCGGGCAGCGTCCGGATCGCACGCGCGCGAGCCTGTGGTGACTGTACCGATTCAGCAGGCCACCGCAGCTTTCTAGTACACGGGTGGGTGCTACAGCCCTACGGCGGGGCCTACGGTCCTACGGGTCCCCAATTCTGATTCCAGATTCTAGAGTTCATCCCTGCTGGTTCCAGCGGGGTCCGCTGGTCCCCCTGCGGCGCTGTCACATTCACGTCGAATAACGGGCAGCTGCGGTGGGACTAAAATGCGGAAAGAACAGCAACTAGACGTGCCTCCAGAATCCCTAAAAGACACGCCTTCGGGATTCTGTCCATTGTAAGCGAAACAAATTTTCCATCTGTACCACCTTTTGGATCCTCCCGTCTACCGTTCATACAGTGGTTTTCTGAAGACAAGGTCTCCATTCTAGCCACCCAACGAAAGTGAAAATTCTAACCGTAGATGGCTTTTATTCGATATCACGAACACCTCATCTGCACGAAAGCCATCGGAATTAACAGCGGTGATGTCAGGTACATCGGAGGACGGATCATTCCCAGAAGAGCAGTCACAAATATGACGTGAGGTGCCCCGACGTGCTTTAACATCCCTCTATGCATTCAGTGCACGTCGCGTAAGGTCGGAAAGCTCTGGCCCTAATCCAGACATTATTTGACCGAGCAATGCCTGCGACGCACGTCAACCCGAGGAGCAAACACGCCTGTCGTGATAACAGTCGGGAAAAGCCCAAGAACGTCAACATGGTGCCAAAAGTCTCCGTGTGCCAACTGTTGCGGTAGTGCTTACTTCTGTTTAGCACTGCACAGCCACAACACATTTTGTTTCAGTTTGTTTTCATTCCGGCATGCCAGCTATTTTGGGACCAAACACCACAACAGTGCGCTAAATCTGATGACTACGCAGGGCCGATTATGCAGGCCAGGGCTTTGCCCGTGTTGTTTGTCGGCCTCTGTTCTTGCGCAACACGTATGCGTTAGGAATGAATTCCAGCTTCAGGAATTCCAGCAAAGCGCCAACTTCCGACCAAATTGCACCGCACCTGACATTCTTGGTCGTAGTTGCAGCGGTCCGAATCGGTATACATATAGCATACCATAGATTACGTTCGTGCATTGACAAAGGCTACAGCTTCACGAGTCAGCTAAGAAAAGCAGCCTTAGTATTTGTCCCTCTTACTTCTGAGCAAAATCTCCCACACAACAGCGTCGCATGCTTAAGCCCTGATGACCCAGAGCATGCGGCATTCCTGTCCTTTCCTCAGTAGTCTGTTGTGTCCCTGTCCTATTTTCCGTAACCATGGTATCCATGCACTATCTTCTGGAGTCTCTGGAGTCCACCTTCCTATCTCCAGGAGCTTATGGTGTCCCTGCCCTATCTTTCCGAGCCTGTGGAGTCCCTGCCCTACATTTCGGAGCCTGAAGTATCCCCGCCCTATCTTTCGTAGCCTGTAACGTCACTGCCCTGCCCTGACCGGGCTACAGACATACGACGAGAGCCAGACGACACGTAGAAATAGGGCGACGGCAGCGGACGACACATAGGAATACGGCGGCCACAGCGGACGACACGCAGAAGTAGGGCGACGGCAGCGGACGACACGTAGGAATACGGCGGTAGCAGCGGACGACACGTAGGAATACGGCGGCAGCGGCGGACGACACGTAGGAATACGGCGGGAGCGGCGGACTGCAAGTAGCCGCCAGGAGTCGGGCTCCTGCTGATGGCCGGTGCCTCGCTACCAGCGGTGTACGGTTAGGTGGACCACCTGTCTGCGTGAGCCGGCTCACAGGTGTGACCCGTGGCGGGGCCTGGCGAGGCCAGGCGGCCACGTCTGGCCGGCAGCTGGGCCGTGTCGCGCGGTCGGCGCGGTCTCGGCGCGGTCGGGGGCGCCGCCCGGGGTTATTGATCGCACCACCAGCCCAGCCAGGTGCGGTCGGCCCGCTCTCCCAGCGGCGGCCGACGGCCCTTCGCCTCACCTCTCCGCTGCAGCCGGCGCGGCCCCGCCCGGCCAGCCGGCCGGCCGACTCGGCCCACTCGCCCGCGGCGTCCGACGCTGACCCTCGCCCCTCCCCATCCCCCGGCCAGGTGGGCGGCGGCACCTGTTGCTCGGGCGCCAGCGGCCGGGCCGGCGGATCGATCCCTAGCGAGATCAACTCAGGAGCCGGCAGAGCAGGGCTCTCTCCCCTCCCCCGCCTCCCATCCCACTCCGTCCTGCCGATACGGGGCCAGGGGAGCACGCGGCAAACCTGCCACACCCGAGGGGACAGAGAAGGACGCGCCAGAAAGGAGTCGACAGTAAACCTCCTCCCCCTCCCCAACCCCAAATCTGCCGTTAGGGTGCGCCATGGCTCTTGGACGTCCGCACCAGTCGCCCGTTACCACCGTTTCTCGGCGCACGCGCTTAAAATGCAGGCGAGCGGCGCGGCGGCGGCTGCGGCGACGGGCCCGAAATAGGCGCTCGTTTCGCGGTGCGCCGACGGCCAGCTCGCAGAGCCGCCCTGACGCGATGGACTCGTCAGCGGTCGGTCAGGTCAGCGACGAATCGATCCCGGGTCCGCCGCCGGCGCCGCGAGACGGCCAACTCGCGTCGGCACCGACGAGTCGGCTCCGGCCCTTACGCCAGGGTGGCGCGACGAGACCGACGCGATGCGCGCGAAGGGACCGAGGGGGCTCCCGGCCGCGATGTCGAGCGGCGCAGGCGGCGATGCAGGTGGCGCTGCGGGAGGGTGACTGGGAGGAGCAACCACCATCCCGACAATCATTACTCTCGGGGTGACGCCTAGCCACGAGAGTGATGACGTGATGTGTGTGTGTGTGTGTGTGTGTGTGTGTGTGTGTGTGTGTGTGTGTGTGTGTGTGTGTGTGTGTGTGTGTGTGTGTGTGTGTGTGTGTGTGTGTGTGTGTGTGTGTGTGTGTGTGTGTGTGTGTGTGTGTGTGTGTGTGTGTGTGTGTGTGTGTGTGTGTGTGTGTGTGTGTGTGTGTGTGTGTGTGTGTGTGTGTGTGTGTGTGTGTGTGTGTGTGTGTGTGTGTGTGATTTTGTGCATGTGATGAGAGCGACGAGGTTCACTCATTCCGTCGCGACGGGGTGAGCGAAGGTCAAGAGACAGGTGACAGGGAGGCACGGACGTCCGATTTGGAGAAAAGGCATAGGTAAGCTGCGCAGCGACAGACATGGGCGGAAGACCCAACGAAACGGACGGAAGCATTCCGAACAACGGCGGACGAAACGTTAGACAGTGCGGCAAGCAGGCCACCGGGGCACATCATCAATAAAGCGGACGTAATAAAGCTGACATAACTGACAGGTTTATTCACCATCTTAGACTAAACTAGAACGGGGCCTAGATTAGAAAGCTAATGGATGTATTTATATCAAACAGGTGTCTAATGACAAGTGGGGCCAGAGCGCATCCACGGTTGCTGTAAGGGCGGGGATAGCGCTTGTTTGGGAGCAAGTCCAAACTCTCATTGCAGTGCTAATGCACTGCGAACAGATTACAAGAGCCGTAAACGTCCATGGTACGTACATGGTAGGTATATGGACGTCCACGTCCACAGGTATAGTACCAGAAGCGTCCATGCGCTGTCGATGCTGTTTGCCCTGACGCAGACAACAATTGCCTACCATACCTGTCCACTCGGCTGTCCGCTTACCTTGTCACTTAATTACTGCTGTTGACGTGAGATGCCACTGCCCATGGTAGTCAATGAGATGTAAAGTCATGGTAATTTTCCTGACCACCAAATTGCGGAATGATATTCATTGGTGTTGTGGTGAACCCTTGCTCTCGATTTGGACGGACGGGGGAGGGCCACGGTGCAGTGACCCTGGTCAGACTGTACCCCTGAGTGAGGTGCAAGAGGCCTCCGTGTCCTAGCTCTCACAGCTTCATACAATATTTGAATGGCACTGGAGATGCAACTTTTAAGAGATGAACTCCCAGCCACGGGCGTTATGACCACCGCAGTGGTGGTCACCATGGCGGACAGAGTGGTATTTTATATGATGCTTGGACTCCAGTGACTTTTGGCAAGATTGAGCCATATTTTTGCCCTAACCATGTAAAAAGCTCTGAAACTGAAAGGAGTCTCAGCTACATTTCGGGCTTGGTGACGTCCATGTTCTTTCCCAGATCCGTCACTAATAAGCAGGACATAGCTTCACGCTAACAAGCTTTCCTGACACGCGCCGGTGTTTATTTTGCGTCAGCAGTCTCCACAAGCAGCGCAGAGAGAGAGAGAGAGGAGAGAGAAGAGAGAGAGAGAGAGAGAGAGAGAGAGAGAGAGAGAGAGAAGAGAGAGAGAGAGAGAGAGAGAGAGAGAGAGAGAGAGGAGAGAGAGAGAGAGAGAGAGAGAGAGAGAGAGAGAGAGAGAGAGAGAGAGAGAGAGAGAGTGGGGAGAGGGAGGGCGCCGCTTGGCCGTTGTGCCCTGCCGGCGCGGCGGCGCGGCCGACCGAGCGGTGTCGGCTCTTCCTCGCGAGCAGCCGCGCCACTTCAGACGCTGTTTGCAGTACAGCAGCGCCGCTTGGCCCGTCTCAGGGGCCGTGCAAACATTACGGACTGCGCCTCAACAGGCATATGTGGCAGCTTCGTGCGGCACAGGAGAGCATTGGAGCGACTGCCTACACACTCAAAATGAATGGCTCGTACATCACACGCCAGTGTACGCGAAATAACTTGGCACGAGCAGCATACATGCCATTACAATGTACGGCAAGCGTTTTCATCCGTGGGATTTTTTCCCAAGGGGAAACAAACATGGGGATGATTCGCAGTGAAGCCAAGCCATGGCTGAATCATGACTGAATCATGGCTGAGTCATGGCTGAGTCAATAAAGTCAGATCCCTTGCCACGCACCATTTACACACTCAGTCGAAAACATCTCCTAGAGTGGTTGAAAACAGGAGCAATGCCTCTACCGCTATGCGTGCCCACGCACGGCGAGACACCGGGAGTTTATTTGTAGGAGC